CATGCTTCGTTGCCGAGCGGGCCCATTCAGCGCAGCAGCAAGATCAGCACATGTGGCAGTGCTTTCGCTCACGCCGATTCCTCGCGCGCGCATGGAGTGCAAGCTTTTTCGGGCAATGGCATTTCCAGTCATGCGCGCGCCGAAGTGGTAGCATCTAGGCGGCTGCGCTCAGCGGGCCGCGTCTGGTCAGCCACGTCCGCCTGGCAGCGCGAGTCGGGTCGCGCATGCGCGGCAACGTCTGCGGCGAGCACTCCCGAAGCATGACTGGCACGCGTGCTCTGAAGCACCCGCGCGTGGACGCGCAACAACGCGCGTGCGCGCAGGGCGCGTGCCATCCACATGCAAGCCCATAACACTTCCAGCATCGTCGATCCAACCAGGCTGCGCGAGGGGTACTCTTCGCATGCCGACCCCACGAAACGCGCAAGAGCCGCGCGTGCACCGAGCCATTCGCGCAAGGCCGTGTCATTACGAAGCACGGCTGCGCAAATCTTCGAGCCAAAATGGCCACGCGAGCGGGAGGGCGAGAGCGAGAGCAGGAGGGGCTGCGGCAAGGGGGCAGGCAGGGGGGGGCGGAGGAGCGGGGGAGGGAGTGAGGGAGGGAGGGGTACTTACGGGGAGCAGAAGGGGGAATAATGCAGCAGGGGGGGGGGCAGAAACTAGGCAAGACTAAGACGGGGTCGGAATAGCAACAGCTGCAATTATATACACGTGTTCATACGTTTAGCCCCCTGTTGCTTTTACCACGGGGATGGGGGTGGAACTTCAACCGCAACGCATGTGCCTCGCACCGTCTACTCTCGAACTTTGGGCCCGTCCTGAAAGATTGATTCGCCAGGCCAGCCAGGCGATCATGATTGGAGTGGGTCATGCGTTAGAAGACGTTGGCAAACCTGCGAAAGACATCAGATCACATTGATTTCTCGTTTCTCCACACGCCATAGATCTATCTATGGACAGGGCGGCGGCTTGTCTTGGCCAAAATGGCCAGCCGCTGAGAGCACCGTCTCTCATTTGACCCGCTTCTTCGCCACAACCGACTCGGCCTCGACGACCAAGACCTTCGGCAGGTACGGGGTGTAGTCATCGCCCTTCTTCAGCCCGTGCACCTCCCGCAGCTGCAAGATCGCCTGGCGGACAGCATCGCGTCTCTTGTCTACGTCCTTGTCCCTATCCTTCTTAATCTTCATGACCTCATTGATCATCGCGCAGGTGAGCTTCGTAGTGCTGGCAGCCTTGATGTCATCAGCCATGTTCTTGCTCTTGAGATCGATGCTGAACATGGTCTCCAGCTTCTGTGTGTTTTTGAGCTTCTCCTTGCACTCCTCGATTGCGGCCTTCATCTTGCCTGCGGGTAGCTTCGCGAAGCTTGTCACGAACTTCGCGTGCAGCTCCTCCCACTCGGTCCACTCCGCAAGCGGCTTCTCTGAAATGAGCCAGTGCGCATCCCCGCCAGCAGCATCACCCAACGAGTACCGATTCATATCTATCACACTCGTGATATTGTCCTCGACTGTGTACTCGCTGCCCTTCTCCACCAATGTATTCAGCATGGACGTGGACCTGTCCATGGCCAACAGAAGGTGGTCGGCCAGGTCCTGGCACACCAGCGCATTGCTTTCAGAGGGCTGGGATCCCTGCGGCTCCTGGTAGAACTTCAACTTGGCGAGGATCTTACGTAGATGAAGCCCCGCGCGCGACAACGTCTCAGCGCGCTTCTCCCACGTTGGGTCCCAGCCATCCGCGTTGTTGTAGTAGTCTGAAGCGAGTTTGGTTTCATGCATGCACGTCAACGCGGACTGGATGGCTTGGATGATCGTCTTCTCATGGACCAGGTCGGTGCCGTAGTAGAAAGGCAACGTCTCGACAATCGAATCAAAAAAATGGTGCACCTTCAAGTCCAGAAGCTCGACCCTCATGCTGCTGACCTTGACGATGCAATCCTTGAGTATGCCCTGGGTCTCGGTCTGGAAGAAATGCTCGGTGACCCTCGCCTCGACAAGCACAGAGGCTAACTTATGGTGACTATCTTCTGGCGGGGCGTTGGAGGAATCGAGGGCGCCATTGATGCCGACGAGAACAGCTTCGAACTTCTTGGTGAACCTCGCCTCGGCAGCACTTTTCAGCAGAGATCCCAACCTCGCAGTCATGTCGTGCGTCCATTCGCCCATCGGGAAAGCTAAGCTCAGCTCGTGCACGATCTCCTGCACCGCCTGTGTTGTAACCTCCTTGGCCTCGGTCATCTTGGCGTCCTGCGCGCTGTCCACGCTGTAGTCAAACAGCATCTCCACGTTGACGATCATGTCGGACCATGCCTGCGCTTTCCCATTGATGCTCTCTGCGAACGGCTTCAACCAATCGCCAGCGTGATCCGCATAGTCGGTCAATAGCTTCGCAGCGTCTTTCAAGCCTTGTCCAATGACCGAGCTGCTTGTGTTGTTCAGCTTCTCGTTGATCTTGCAGATTTCCTCCATCACGGGCTCCATGAAGGGCATGTCGC